CTCCTCCTCCTCCTCCTCCTCCTCCTCCTCCTCCTCCTCCTCCTCCTCCTCCTCCTCCTCCTCCTCCTCCTCCTCCTCCTCCCCCCCTTGTCGCCCGGCCCGAGATGAGCAGCCAGCCCCCTTGGGCAGGGCGGCTGGGCAGCCTGGGCCGGTGCTGAAGTCGGGCCTGTCCCCCTGCAGGGGGGTTTTGGACGAAGAATACCCATGCTTGCCTCCAGGGTGCCCTGGGCTTCTTGGGTCTCGATGGTTTCGCCATGGAAAGCGTGACGCTCCCTCGCCAAAATTCGCTGGACGTCCTGGGGTCCTCAGGGCTGGGTTTCTTGTGGAAGGTGTCTTGTGGAAGGGCCCCCTACTGTGTGTCACTGCTTGCCCCCACACGAGGACGGCCAAAATATTCCAAACATGACACAAAAAAATAAAAGTCCCCACATTAGTTTTGTTGATTATGTTTCTGATATTCCCCCTGTAGAGGGACAGGCCCGACTTAAGCCGGTGCAGCTCCGCGCTGCGAACAGAGCACGACATGGGTTCCAGGCCTACGACGTCTCTTTTCGCTTGTGTTCTTTTCTGTTTGTTGTTGTATTGTGTCTTTTGCTGTTCTATTGCTTGTGTGAAGGATGTTTTCTTTGTTCTTCTGTTGTTCCTCTGTGTTGTCGCGCGCCTCCCCTTTGCCTCGCGTACCTGGGAAACCAACAGAGGGCGGCCCAACCACTCACATGAGCACGGCACCCAAGTCCGCGAGACCGGTCTCGAGATGCTCGCGCTCGCGCAATGCGCACTCGAAGCCAGCGTGGATTCATGTACGCGCACGTCCTTCTTTCGCTCCTTAGTGCCCCAGTTCGCCTCGCACCCCGCCGTCGGTTATGTACGTGCACGTCCTTCTGTCGCTCCTTAGTGCCCCAATTCGCCTCGATTGCACCCCGCCGTCACTCGCGCGCTTATCGATCACTCGCGGCCGCCGGTCAGAGCAGGTTTTTTTGGGGTTGGCTCACGACATTGTTTTTCCCGGAGGCCTGGGCCTTTCCCCGGGGGCAACGTTGAGGGGGTGACTACTCGACCCCTCATTCGAATAGGGCGATCGATTGCAGAATTGGTTTACCCTAAACTTGATTTCCCGTCGAATCTACGGAAAGTGCGTAGGATGCTCCGCAGACCTACGGAGCATCTTACGTATTTTGTTGAATATTCGACGGGACAACCGACTTCTGGGGTAAATCAAGTCTGTAGTCGATCCCTACTCGACGAATCGGCCATTCATCGCCGACAGGGGCCCGTCCCAGAGGCGCAGTCCGCATGGCGGCGCCGCCCCATTTTGGCACACCTCTCACACGTTTCGTGGCCCCATAGGGAGCTCCACCCAAGGTCCCAGTGGCGCAGTCCGCATTGCCGCATGTCGGTGCCGCCCGATTTTGGCACACGCACACACACACACACAAACCTCACACGTTTCTTGGCCCCATAGGGAGCTCCACCTAACGTCCCAGTGGCGCAGTCCGCATGGCGGTGCCGCCCGATTTTGGCACTTGTGCCGTGAGTGTTCTTGAACGGCTTGCCATCCTCGGGTTCCCGGGATTCTCCTGATTATTTGATCTTGTTGTTTTTTCTGTTTGTGGGTTGAAGTAATGCCAAGCGTTGCAAATGAATGCAGAGGCAGGCTAAACAATGTCAATCAATGCCAAGAAAATAAATGCCAAGGAATGCCAAGCGATGCCAAGGAATGCAAAGCAACACAAAGCAAAGCCAAGAAATGCCAAGCGATGCCAAGCAAAGCGAAGCCACGTCAAGCAACGTCAAGCAACGCCAAGCAATTCAATGCCAAGCGAAGCGGTGCAATGCCAAGCGATGCAATGCGAAAAGGGCTGAGCAGTTCTGGGTCCTCCTCACCGTCCTTCCTCCTGTTCCTCCTCTCCCTCCTCCCTCCTCTCTCTTCCGTCGTCGTCCTCCTTCCTCCTCCCTCCTCCTGCTTCTAACCCCTCTCCCCGTCTGCCCCCTCCCCCCCCCCGCCATCCGTGCAGGGCAAGGACGCGCTGTCGCTGGAGCTGGGGCTGCAGGAGCACAGGGGGGCCTCCGCCGCCTCCCTCCCGCCCCCGGAGCCGCTCCGGGGTGCCCCCAGAGCGCGCCAGGGGCCCCCACCTCAGAACCTCTCGCCCAAGTCTCCCCCCAGAGCCTCCCTCACCCCTCCCACTCCCACTCCTTGTACCCCACCCTCTCCTCCTCCTCCTCGTCCTCTTACTCAGCTCTTTCCCCCCGCTCGTCGTCGTCGTCGTCGTCCTCCTCCTCCTCCCCCTCCTCCGAGAAGGTGGAGGACGGGGAGGGAGGACGAAGAAGGAAGGCGAAGAGAAAGAGCAGGAGCACGGAGGAGGGAGGAGGCAGGAAGAAGGAGCAACAGGAGGAGGAGGAGGAGAAGGAGGAGGAGGAGGAGGAGAAGGAGAAAGAGAAGGAGGAGGAGAAGGAGAGGGGAAGGAGGAGTAACAGGAGGTGCAGGATGAGGAGGAGGATGGCGGTGGAGGATGGCGGAGGGAGGAGGCAGGAGGGAGGATGGAATAGGGAAGAGGAAGAGGAGGGTACATAAGGAGGAGGAGGAGGAGGAGGAGGAGTCAGGAGGAGGAGGAGGACCAGGGTAAACTCAATAGTTATTAACGATAATGCAATGCACCATCCCTCCAAATTGCCCCTTGATAGATCCCTACAAGGGGGAAGTTATCGTCATTCTGGGAAATGGCCTATGAGAAGACAATTGTCTGAGAGTCCGCAGTCGCGCGAAAACGCATTTCCTGCGAAGTCACCGTCGCTGATCAACGTGAATTTGCGTCTTGGCAATTCCTGGGGCATCAACACCGCGAATCAGTGTGACTGTTGCTTCCGGACAGTCCCAAACTGTGCCAGAACACCATTCTTGGGATTTCGACCATACGAATATTTGAAAGTAATCGAAACCTTTACACTGTGAATGTGCGCGGCGCAAGGCGAGAGCCACATTTCGAAAACGGCCCGCCCTCAATCCGTGAAGCTGATGCAAACGTTTAAGACGAACATGCTCGGCGCTAAGGCGAGAGCCTCATTTTTAAAAGCACCCTTTCTCAATCCAGTCCGTTGAACTGCTCCAAGCGACGACTGTGCGCGGCGCTACGCGGAGAGTCAATTTGTTTTCACGACCCGCCCTCCATCCGTACGGGCGCGGCGCTAAGGCAATCGCCACACTTTGAAGACGGCCCGCCCTCCATCTGTGAAACTGTTGCAAAGCTCAGGCCTCAAGCTTCATCATCAGAACTGGCGAGGATGTCTCCGGCGAAGCGCCCAGCCCGCCCTGGATGCGACAGGGAGGAGATTGTGAGAGGGAACATGGATGGAGCCTCCCGGGAGGCGTCCCAGAGAGCCCCCCTCCCGCGAGATGCTCCTCCTCCTCCTCCTCCTCCTCGTCTTCCTCCTCGTGCTCATCCTCCTCATGCTCCTCATCGTCCTCCTCCTCCTCGTCATCCTCCTCATGCTCCTCCTCCTTGTCATCCTCATCCTCCCGCGAGATGCTCCTCCTCATCCTCCTCCTCCTCCTCCTCCTCCTCCTCCTCTCCGAGCCGACGCGCGCCTGGGTCCCCCCCGAGAGGCCCCCGCCGTGCGCAGGAGCACGACGCCGACCCGGAGCTCTGCCGCCCCCCGGCGTGCGGCGGCGCCGACAGCAGCCGGGGCCTCGCCACCGTCAGCACGCGCTCCGGCAGCGTGGCGCAGGCCGAGGACGCCGAGGCCCTCGGCGGCCCCGCGGCGGCCCCGCGGCGGCCCCTCGGCGGCGGCCCCGCGGCGGCGGCCCCGTCGTCGGCGGCCCCCCGGCGGCCCCGTCGGCGGCGGCCCCCCAGCGGCGGCCCCCGGGCGGGGGCTCCTCGCCGCGGTGGGCCGCTGGAGGCCCCCTTTGCCCCCGGAGGCCTCCCTCCTCGGAGGCCCCTTTCCTCCGAGATCGCCCCTCCTCAGACCCCAGATCGCCCCCAGCTCGCCCCCCAGATCGCCCCCAGATCGCCCCGAGATCGCCCCCGCCCCCGGAGGCCTCCCTCCTCAGATCGCCCCGAGATCGCCCACGAGGGCCCCCGGAGGCCTCCCTCCTCAGAGCCCCCCCCCCAGAGGCCCCTCCCAGAGGCAGGGCGCCCTCGGGGTGCAGCTTCGTTTGGCGGGTTATCCTCATGTCAGGCCTGTCCCTCCACAGGGGGAGTAGTCAAAAGTAGTAAACAAAAAATAGTCTGGGGAGGTTTTTAGGGGGAGTTTTTTTAGGTTTCTGGAGTATTTTTGACGTCTTGCGCATTTCTCGTGCAAAAAATCCCCCTGTAGAGGGACAGGCCCGACCCAAGGTTATCCTGAGATCCTGGCGTTGCACACTGTTCACACCCGGCGTTTTCACTCCACGTCGGGCCCCCGGGGCCCTCACAGACCGATCGGGCTCGGAAGACGGCGCAGAACGACGGGGTCCTGGCTCTAGTCGTGATTTCTTGCGATATTGTTTGTTGTTTGCTGCAAAGTCGGATCTCAGGGTATCCCTGCCCCAGTTAATTGGCCCCGCCCGCTCCACCTCCCAGGCCTCGGGGGGCCTCTGGAGGCTTCTATTTCAGGAGGGAAAAACACCCAGACACAACGAGTCGTCGATTCCCCTGAAAAAATATGGGAAACTATGGGAAGTGGGGTGGGGGGAGACAAAAACCAAGAAAATTATCCCGGCAAAGCAACCTAACAGCGATGTGTAGAAGCATAGCTGGAAACATTGCCTGTGGTATTCATGTAAGAGCGCTGTTGTAGAATTCTGGTGTTCTCGCAGTCGCATTCGGATTCGCAGTGGCAGTCGCAGTGGCAACATCAGCGGCAGTCGCAGTGGCACTGCCAGTAGTTGCAGTAGCAATAGCTACATTAGCAACAGCAACAGCAGCAGCAGTAATAGTAACAGTAGTAGTAGTAGTAGTAGTAGTAGTAGTAGTAGTAGTAGTAGTAGTAGCAGTAGAAGTAGTAGTGATGGTAGTAGTGGTAACAGTGAAGTAGTAGTTGTAGTGTGTGGAGTGAACGAGTAGGAGTGATGGGGGCAGTGGTAGTCGCGATGGTCCGAGAAACGTTTGGCCAACTTGTTTTCGGCCCGTTCTTGTTCGGACGTTCCTTTATTTCGCTTCGGTATCCGGCCGAACTGCTTCACGTGCTCGACGAGCGTTTGCAGAGGACCGCTCAATGCAGCACGCTGAGGAGCAGCGCTGTTCCCTGCCGCAGGCTGAGGAGCACCGCTGTTCAATGCAGCAGGGTCAGGAGCACCGCCGCCAGACCGAGAACTATCAGCATGTCCTGGCATTAAGGTGCGCAGTAGGCGCTGCGCAGTTCCTTTGAAAGGAAATCTTCGAAAGCAGGGCTGTAGCCAAGAAGGCTACGGGGACGATGATGATGATGAAGATGATGAGTCTTGGAAGTCTGGGAAGTGGAAGAGCACGAAGTGGCGTACAGTTGGCTCCGGGCATTCAAAATGTTGCCCGGGAGTGGATTTCTGGGAAGTGGAAGAGCACGAAGTGGCCTACAGTCGGTTCCGGGCATTCAAAATGTGGCCCGGGAGTGGTGTTCTGGGAAGTCCAAGAGCACGAAGTGGCCTACAATTGGTTCCGGGCATCCAAAATGTGGCCCGGGAATGGAGTTCTTGGAAGTCGAAGAGCAGTTGGCTCCGGGCATCCAAAATGTGGCCCGGGAATGGAGTTCTGGGAAGTCGAAGAGCACGAAGTGGCCTACAGCTGGCTCCGGGCATTCAAAATGTGGCCCGGGATCCTCCTCCTCCTCGTCCTCCTCCTCCTCCTCCTCCTCCTCCTCCTCCTCCTCCTCCTCCTTCTCCTCCTCCCGCGCGGCAGGTGCCGCGCTGGCCGCAGCGGCGGCCGCCGCGGCCGCGGCCGCATCGCGGCGCCGCGTGTCACCGGGGCGCCGCAGTCGGGGCTTCGCGCCCGAATCTGGGCCCCACGAGCTCGGCAGGCAGCAAAGAGGCCTCCGGAGGCCTTCCGAGGCCTGGGAGGCGGAGCGGGCGGGGCCATAGCTGACTGGGGCAGGCACCGCCGCGCGCCCTCTGGAGCGTTCCCGGACGTTCTCGCTCCTCCTCCTCCTCCTCCTCCTCCTCCTCCTCCTCCTCCTCCTCCTCCTCTGTCTCCTTCTCGTCGTCCTCCTCCTCCTCCTCCTCCTCCTCCTCCTCCTCCTCAGCGTTCGTTGTCCGCGGCCCCTGATGTGCGCTCCGGTCCGCCGATAAGGTGAGTTCGATCCGCGGCCCCAGCAGTCCTGGCCGCTCCCCCCGGAGGCAGCTTGTCGCCCAGGAAGCATATCTTTGAGAGCCCATACGGGCCCGACAGCGGACGCCCCGAGGGCCGAGGTCGAAGCAGCAGCGCCTGGATGTCTTGTGAAATTATGTCGACGGGGGTTCGGGGTCGTGGGTTCGTCTTCTTACCGAGGGCGACGTCGGTTGTCGCCTTCGCCGCCTACGCCGCCTACGCAGCCGCTGCCAGCCTCCGCCGCAGCCGCAGTCCTCGTCCCCGTCCTCGTCGCCGCCGCCGTCGTCGTCGTCGTCGTCGTCGTCGTCGTCGTGGTCGTCGTCGTGGTCGTCGTCGTCGTCGTCGTCGTTGTTGTTGCTGCTGTAGTTGTTGCTGTTGTTGAATTTTCACTTCTGAAGAATAGTTACTGTTGCTCCCCCCTCACCGGTGCACATCGTTTGTTCTCAATCAAAGTGTGCCCCTCGACGCTCGCACCCTGTTTTTGGACAGGGGAAGTCTTGGTGCTCAAACTGGGCCCCTGGCCTCCCGGATTGCAACAACAACGGCTCCTGCCTGTGACTCCCTCGCAATTTTGTCAGGACTCCCGCTGCTGAGACTTCCTCACAATTTATGTACTCAAGATCGGTGCTCCCGCTTGTGACTTCCTTGCAATTTAGTCAGAACCCCCGCTCCCATTTGAGATTTCCTTACAATTTACTCAGGAACGGCGCTCCCGCTTGAGACTTCCTCGAAATTGAATCAAGACTTCCTCGCAATTTGATCAAAACCCCCGCTCCCGCCAGAGGACCCTTCACAGTTGATTCAGGAATTGCGCGCTCGCTTGTGACTTCCATGCAATTGATTCAGAAATCGCGCTTTCGACGCTCAGGAAACACGCTGCACCAAGCGCCAAGGCGCGCTCTCGCCATACTCGGGCATCCCGCTTGAATGTCCCACCAACCCGACCCGCCCGTCCGGGGATCGCCCGCCCGTCGTGGGCTCCCGCCCGAGATTTCCTTCAGGAACGGCGCTTTCGCCTAGGACTTCCTCGAACCTTCACGCTCTTACCTTCATGCTTCTCCTCCCTCTCCTTCCTCCCTCCTCTCCTCCCTTCTCTCTCCCTCCTCTCTTCCCTCATCCTTCTGCCTCTCCGCCCTATCCCCTCTCCCTCCTCTCCCTCCTCCTGTCTCCCTCCCCTCTCCTGCCTCCTCCCTCCCTCTTTCCTTCTCTCTCTCTCTCCCCTCTCTCTATCTCTCTCTTTTCTCTACCTCTCTTATATGTTTTTTTGTTTCTCTCTCTCTCTCTCTCTCCCTCTCGCTCTCTGTCTGCCTCTAATCAACCGCCCCCCTCTTCGCTGCTTCTCTCCTGGCGTTGTCCCTCTTCCTTCGTCCCTCCCCCTCCCTTCCTCCCACTCTCCCTCGTTCTCCCCCTCCTCTTTTTGCAGGGCCCACACCAATTCCAATGGCGGGCACATGTACGCCCACGAAGGATCGTCCGCCCGTTCAGGTTTGCCCGCCTGCCTAAGCCCGCCGCCCCCCGCAAAGAAACATAATCTCCCCCAAGAGGGTGTAATCGAAGACGAAAAGGGCGGGTATCGAGGGTGTGGGGAACTCGTTTTGAATGACACGCGGGCAAGTAAGAGCGAACAGTCTTATAATGTTTGTTGTTGGTGGTGGTGTTGTTGTTGCGGAAATTTCAAGAATGTAGAATAAGTGTTCTTCATCCTTCTCTGGTGACCATTTTGTTTTTCAATTGAAGTGCTTCCCATAGGGCTCGCACCCTGTTCTTTTATGAGAGAAGCTAGGGTCTCACGGCGTTGTTGCCCCCCGAACTACAACAACAATCGCGCTCTCGCGCGGGACTTCTTCACAAATTATTGTCGTTTCGCGTATCCCCACTAGTTTACCTCGACCGACGTTTCGTTGGCCACGGCCACCCTGGTGCTCACGCTGTCGTCTGAGGTACGGTATCCCGTTTTCTCTCTCGGAGTTGTCCCTGGCCGTCGTTGACTTTCCGACGCGTGGCGCCTCCGACTGATTTGCAGCTGCGCACGCTGGCAGTTCCCCTCAGTCTCAGTCCCGGCGGCCCCCCATCTGAGGCCTCGGCCGCGCTTAGTTGTCGCCTCGCCCGTCGCTCTATTTGTTTTTCCCGCGTTTCCTTTGCCGAATTAGTCTCTTCGTGGCCCGCTTTGAACTGACACGCCGCCGGCGCGCTCGCCCGCGGCCGCTGACGAAAAAAATATTCCCACTAGCCCATCCAGAAAAGATGCCCGGGCGAGTTGAGGTGAACAGGGACGCGCCGGAACAAACAGGTGGACGGCCGAACCGTGCGAAGGAAGGAGAAGGAGAAGGAGGAGGTTGAACGGATGGATGAAGGAGTGGGGAGGAGGACGATGAATAGGAACATGAGGCGGAGGAAGAAGAAGAAAATGAGTAGGATAAAGAAGGGGGAGCAGGAGGAGGAGGGCAAGCAAAAGGGCTAGAGGTTTTTTGGATGCCTCTCAAAGCCTCTCGTGGGACATCTCTTGGGCGTTCTCGGAGGCCTCTTGGGACGTTTTGGGCGTCTTTCGGCGGTCCTGGAGGGCTCTTGGGCGTTTTGAGTGTCTCGGGGGGGCCTCGTGGGGCCATTTTGGAGCCATCTTGGAGCCATTTTGGAGCCTCTTGGGGCCTCCTGGGCCCTCTTGGGGCCATCTTGGAGGAGATCGATCAAAGAAGGGGAGGGTCGCAATTCACGCTGCCCCTCGGGAGCCCCCAGAAAGGCCCAAATGGAGCCAAAACCTGAGTAAAATCAGTGATTTTGGCTTCCTCGCCGAGGCCGTTTGGACGCTCCAACGACTCGCGACCGGCCGCGTCCAGGTCCAGGGGAGGGGGGAGGGAGGGGTGGAAGAGGAAACACTTTAAACTACTTACGCCCAGACGGCTGGTGGGACTCAGGAATCGCGCTCTCGCGTGGGATTTTTTTCAAATTATTCAGACGCCGCGCCCTCGACATTTAGGAGTCACGCTCTCGCTGTGGATTTCTGCGCGATTGATTTGGGGATCGAGCTGTCGCTCGAGACTTTCTCGCGGTTCATGCAGGACGCACGCTTGAGCAATCCGCCTGCTCGACCTGGCCGCTTGGGCCCTCCTTCCCGACCCGCCTGGTAGGGTCTACCCGCCCGATCTGTCCGTCTGGTTCTGCCACGTGCTTTCTGCTCCTAGCCCGTGCTCCATTTTCTTCTCTCCCCCTTGCCCTTCCTTCCATCAGCCCTCTCTTCCACGGGCTGCGGGAAAGACACGTTGCAGAAAAGAAAGATATACCCTCACGTGGGTACGGTCGAGGACGAAGAGGGCGGGTATCGAGGGCTCGGGATATACGTGTTGAGTGGCACGCGAGCAGATGAGAGCGAACAGTCTTGCAGTGAGTGTTGGTGCTGTTGTTGATGATGTTGTCGTCGTGTTTGTTGTTGTTGCTGCTGTTGTTGATGTTGTTGGTGTTGTTGGTGTTGTTGTTATTGCTGTCGTTGTCGTTGTTGTTGATGTTGTTGTTGTTATTGTTGTTGTTGCTCGTGTTGTTGTTGTTGTTGTGGTTGTTTTTGTTGTTGTTGTTGTTGGTGTTGTTGTTGTTGTTGTTGTTGTTGTTGTTGTTGTTGTTGTTGTTGTTGTTAGTGTTAGTGTTGTTGTTCTTGTTGTTGCTGTTGTTGGTGTTGGTGTTGTTGTTGTTGTTGTTGTTGTTGAACATTATTTCTTCTTAAGAATAATTATTGTTGGGACCCCTGGTGCGCGACCCCCCCGCCGCGCCTAGGCCGCAGCCACATTTTCATCATTTTCGTGAGGAAGTCTCAGGCAAAACGATTGGTACCGGATCCGGTTTTTTGTTGACGCTCGTTTTCCCTTGCAAAAAACAATAGAAAATGAAAATTCTTGTTCTTAGTTGATCAAATTGCAAGAATCCCTTGCAAAAAATAAGGTAAAGTGGACATTCGTGCGCGCAAGACGAAATCCTTCCAAAACCTTAGGTTTCGTAGCGATTTTAACATAAAAACATCAAAAACCCAATGGTTTTTTAAGAAAAAATTGTCAAAATGTCCTTCCGCGCGCGCTGTCCGAATCCCACAAAACCAATGGTTTTTCAACATTTATGTTACATGAGCTCGCGCGAGCTACTTTTTCTTGTTCTAACATAATCAAATTTCAATAATCCCTTGCAAAAAATAAGGTAAAGTGGACATTCGCGCGCGCAAGACGAAATCCTTCCAGAACCTTAGGTTTCGTAACGATTTCAACATAAAAACATCAAAAACCCAATGGTTTTTCAAAAAAAAATGTCCAAATTTCATCCCGCGCGCGCTGTCCGACTCCCACAAAACCAATGGTTTTTCAACATTTATGTTACATGAGCTCGCGCGAGCTACTTTTTCTTGTTCTAACATAATCAAATTTCAACATCCCTTGCAAAAAAAAAGTAAAGTGGACATTCGCGCGCGCAAGACCAACAAAAAACACGACGATCTCAGGAACTTGCCCCAAAAATGTGACCAACTCCGCTCTCTCTGTCTCTCTCTCTGTCTGCTCTCTGTCTCTCTCTCTGTCTGTCTGTGTCATGTATTGTATGTCACAATTGCAGGATGCTGGGCACACGCGCGCCCCGAATAAGTGACCAAGTTCTGTGGGTGTGTACCCCACGCCAGTGTAGTAGCCACGGTCGTCCGCACGCCACGAAGTGAAGTGTCCCAACGTCATAGGGCGGGAAGCTGGGTTTGGGTGGTCGCGAAGAGTCGTTTGGATATTTGGTAGAGCTTGAACTTGCCCCCCACGAAGTGGGGGTATTGTCTCGCGTCGCATGAAAACCCTGGCACTGGTGAGAACACTGAGCGTTCGGGTAAAATGATTGTTGTTGTTGTTGTTGTTGTTGTTGTAATTGTTGTTAGTGGTAGTGTTAGTGTTAGTGTTAGTGTTAGTGTTGTTGTTGTTGTTGTTGCTGTTGTTGTTCGTGTTGTTGTTGCTGTCGTCGTCGTCGTCGCCGTCGCCGTCGTCGTCATCGCCCCTCGGTGGCGCCCCTCGGTGGCCGAGGCGCAGCATCTGCTGAGGCAGCTCGGCGCGCCCAGCTCGACGAGGAGCCGGGGTGGAGGAGGAGGGAGGAGGAGGAGGAGTAGGAGGAGGAGGAAGGAGGAGGGAGGAGGAGGAGGAGGAGGAGGGCGGAGGAGTAGGCGGAGGAGGAGGAGGAGGAGGAGGAGGAGGAGGAGGGCGGAGGAGGCAGAGGAGGAGGAGGAGGAGGAGGAGGAGGAAGATGAGGAGGAGGAAGCGAGTGGAGGAGGAGGAGGAGGGAGGAGGAGGAGGACGAGGAGGAGGAGGAGGAGGAGGAAGAGGGAGCTGAGGAGGAAGAGGATCGGCTGCGCGAAGCAAAGAGCGATCCCTGGCCGGACCGCGGCTCTTTTGGACAGTCTCAGGGGGCAACGCCGCGGGGGACTGGAGATCTCCGACGACGTGATCTTTTCAGTCCAGTCGATCCTCCTCTGATTCCGGCCACCGGGGCTCGTGTTCGGACCCGGGGGCCCTCAGAAATGGATCGGGTGTACTAATCTTTTAGCGGGTACGGCGGTACCAGTCAGGGCTTCGGTGTTGCTGGTGCGGTCGCACCCGCCACACGTGGATCATCCGTAACCGCTCCCATGTCGTCGTAAAAGGCTACCCCCGAGGAAGCGGTCGGGACATTCGGGGGGGGGGACTCGGAGGAGAACGGGGTGACGTTGCTGCTAATTACCCTTGCCTCGGCGTCGCCCTTGTTGGGTATCCTGGAAGGCCCCCGTCGCCACGGCTGGATTCGTTTCGAAGCTCTGGTCGGAACGCACCCAGGGCGCTGTCTGGGGAGTAGCAGTATCGGCACGCGTTTTCCTCCCCAGGTTTGTTAATTCAAGCTTCGCGCGGCCCGCTTAGTTTCGACCGGAAGAGGTGCGCTCTCGACCCGCAAAAAAACGCGTTTTCCTCCCCAGAGGGACTGGCCCAAAGGGGGGGCGCCGACCGGGGCCCACATCCCCACCCCGCCCGGGAGCGTGGTAATCGGGGGCCGATCGCCGATCTGTCGGCGACGTACGGCGGGGGCCGTTGTTCAGGGAACGTGCCCAGGAAGCTTCGGGCCCGGCAGGACCCTTTCTCTGATGAGGGCGGCGGTCGTATCCATGGCCAAACCTCAATTGGTTTTTCGCCGGCTTTGAGACCTTGGGCTCCTTATCCAATGGTTCTTTCTGTAATGAGGCCACGGTGGCTCAAGGGTGCCCTGGTAATTAGGCCTGGGGATGATTCCCGCCGCGGCGCGGTGATATCTCTCGTTCCAGAGCCCCCCCGACCATGGCGGCCCTGCGTAGGGCAGTGCTGACGCTCTCGACGTACAACCCAGCCCATGCGAAACTAGACCGCCTCGCCGATATCTCGGCGAACCTGAGGACCGACGATATTGTGGGCCTCATCGGAACCTCGATCCGAAGACAACGAACTGGTCTACATACGAAATAGTTCACTTGTCATCACCACGCCATAGAGTGGGGATGGGACACGCCGCCGTGCACGAACAAGAGCTGTGGAGTGACGCTGCTGATGAAGCGTTCGAGATTCCGCACATCACACATTACCCGAGTGGAACAGCCACCAGTGGGCCTTGGGGCGGGGAGGAGCATTGAGTATTCCCGAGGAGAACTACAATGCAAGTTCATTTTGGCGCACTTCCCGACGATCCCGAAGGCACCCGAGGCCAAACATGCATGGCAGACCGCGTCAGACAAAATATTGCAATGGATTGAGAATGAGCTGGAGCATACGCCAGCCAGAGTCCCCCCATACATTTTGGTTGACCTGAACGACGGCCTCGGCAACTCCGACGGCCCTGATGTTGCAGTTGGACCCGCATACCCAGATCATGAACGCAGGGTTGGCACGCGAATGCACGAGCTGCTGAGAACGCGCAACCTCTCTGCCTTCAATACGCATTGTTTTAGCGTTGCTCACACACACACACACACGCCAGGGGCCTCGAGGCACCAAAACACGCATTGATGTCATCATTGGCCCGAGCGGGCTGTTGCCTGGTAGTACCTCGTGCAATACATGGAGACGCACGGCACTCAAGCTGCAGGTGTCGAATCAGTTCCATGACCACCCGCCCGTCGGCATCACACACAATGTCGAGACCTCAACGGCGCCTCTCCAGCGAGAACATACTAAGTGGGATCTGGACATAGCGGCCGCCCTTGTACAACGCGGCGAAGATAGAGGTCCATTCTTGACGCCATTGGGCGAGGATCTGATAGCACATGAGAATGATTTCGCTGTGGCAGCGACTACCAACACCCCAGATATGCACTACGCGCTCTTCATGAAGTGCGTTCGTGCTGCAGCTGTGCCCGTGTTCACGCGACAGCACGCGACGACGCCCGAGACCCAGGACATGATCAAAGAAAGAGATCGTCTATCTCGAGTCCGTTCGCAGCAACGAAGGGATCATGCGCTTCGACCCGACAATGCTATCTTGCCTCGTCTGCGACGCCTCAGTGCCCAACTTACCTTGATGCGCTGGCGACGCCTGGCACGTGCGAAGCAGCTGCGCCGAGAATCGCTGCTGGAGGCACCGCGACGGGGAGATCACGCCGTGGCACACATAATGGCAAGGGCGTTTATTCACGCAAAGGCCGGCGCCAAGAAGCGAGTTTACAACGCACTTATGTCGCGAGTTGCCTCGAAGGAGGAATGGCATGAGGCTCTGTCGAAGGATGGTCCCGAGAAAGGCTTCCTGGCCACGCGAATTGCCCCGCCCTTGGAGTACAAATATCCGGATGACCTACGTGACCCTCGGCATAGAGACGGATTGGCATTCGGTCAGACCCCAGGGGCCGCTGGCTTTTCACTGGCACTTTTCGACGAGGCTCGTGAACATATGCAGCGGTCCGTCCACCTTCTCAACAGAGCTAAGCGACGTAGATATGCAACAGAACGGAGTATCCCCACAGAGCTGTTCATCGCGATCGCGTCTCCCACCTACCTATCTCCCCCCTCCCGTCCGAGCGGGGGCCTCGGCGGCGCGCGCGCACCTGAAGGCATTCAGTTCGAGGGCGGCCGAATCCGAGAGGATGCAACTGACAGGCTACGAGCACGAGGACGGGGCCATTTTCCCACTTGAAGGCGTCGAACATGCGGAGGAGGGTGCGAATCGGCCGTTCGGATTATGCGCATGCGCACCCCCGCGTGGGGGGCCGTGCCTCAGGCTGCCAACCAGAGCGGGATATGCATGCTGTCCAAGACGAAGAAGCCCCCCCCCCCCCCCCCCCCCCCCCCGAGGATTCATTTGCCCGGGTACCTCAAGATCGCGGCCGCGGGTTCTGCGGTCTCATGCTGTCGACTCATCCGCGTCATGTGCGGCTACTGGCGGCGCTTCTTCCGCTCGCTGCTCGCGCGCGAGTGCGTCGCCTACCGCCCGCCGCCATGGGCCCGGGAGTGCTTGCCCCGCCGGCGTCGCGAGGCCGCGATCGCCATCTCCAGGATGCTCGTTTGGAAAGCTAAGTCTGCGAGACAGAGCTGCGCGGGTCGGAGCCATGACCTGACTAATGCCATTGCATGCGGCACCCACGCTCGACGTTTCAATCAGAGAAGCGAGTTCGCCCCGCCCCACCTTCAGCCCTTTTTTCGCTGGCGGCGCGGCGCCCTCCGCGCGCGACTGCGAACGTTTGAAAGCGAGTTATGGTTGCGCATGGGGAGCGGCGGACCTATGGGATGCAGCGGCGAGCCTAGACTTTGGATGGGGGATTATTGCACGCTGGTCGAGCGCCGGCGAGGATCGCGAGCGGCCGCGACCCCGGCCCCGTGGACCATTAATAACTCTTTTGAGTTTGGCGACATCGATCCGAGCCTTGCCGGATTCATCGATGACCTTTTTCGCGTGATGTTACTGTCTCCCGGGGCGCCGTCTGAATGCATTGTCGACCGATATGCGGAGGGCGATGCTTCTGACTTGCGGCTGCGGCCAGGAGGCTACATGCAGAAATGCTCGAATGGGGAAATCATAGTCTCATTGGATGCCCGCCGGCGCGTAGATGAACTTGCTTCATATGAACAACTACCATGTTCTACTGCGCGCATTACGCCATCTTGGAGGATGGACAACCCCAGCGTGTACTAAAACTACCGATGTGGACAAGCGTCTCCAGAGTGCGTCTACTGGTTGGTGTGCTTCTTCGGGGGCCTGGCAAAATCCGAAGACCCCCAATGATTTCAAGCGTTTACTTTTCCTGGGAGTGGTCGATAATGCTAGTCCAAGTGGCCCTGGAGCTAACGCGTTGACGAGGGAGGGGGGAGGGGGGGGGTCGCTTAGGCGGGGCCGCTGTTCGTAAGCTTAGATGCACGACGATGGGCCGGGCCTCGTGGATTGACCCCAGTGGCCAAAACAAATCGATGAGCAACGCCGCAGTTTTGAAGTGCTGGAACCTGGCCCCCGCGCCCCTAGCCCTTGAGCTTCGTCGTCTAACGCGGTGCAGACATGCTCTGCGATATCGGCAACAGTCTCGACAGCGGTGGGCCGCGCTCCTGGGCAGATGTAGGTGCGAGCGCGAACGCGATCGAGCCAACGCATTAGGAGACCATGGATTGCCCGTCGCCCCGCCTGCGACGTGGGCGGCAACCAGCGTGAACCCGAAAGCGAATCCTTGGGCCCGTCCGTGCGTTTGTTTCTTTTTTTATTTTCCAGGATCTCCTGGGCTTGGCCGAGGACGAGGAGGCGGAGGAGTCTAACGAGTTTGTTTTGGGGGGGCGTGAGGTTGCCGCGCTTTTCCAGGATAACGTCGCCCAGGCCATGAGAGACATCGACGAGAGACGCGTGATAAAGAAGTTCTCGAGCGCCGCCATCCCGCCGCCATCTACTGCACCGCTGCTGTCGCCGCCTGCTGCTCCAATTGGGGATGAGGGCCTTGGCGATTACGCATGCGGGTTGAAGATGGAGAGGGGCCGCGTGCCAACATCGAGCTAGAACGCGAAAGGGCTTGAAGGCGCATCAGCGCGCCGCAGCTCTGGGAGGTGAGCACGGGCGGCCCAATATTATTTACTCGCACGATCGAACAGATGTTTGATTTGCTCGACGGTGTTCAGGACTTCGCTCGAGACACAGGCGCGCTTCAAAGAATCCTGGAATCCCTCTAGATGCTACGCGACCCGAACGAGATTGTCATATGAGTTTATCGAGCCGCCTAATCGAACGTGTCCTGTACGGTCCGTAGCTGTTAAATTCGACCTTTGCGGAGCTTGTGCGCTACTTCTTCGCGGGCATTGTTGCGTCGCCGGCGGGGGGGGCTACGAGTTGCGGTTGGAGATGGCGACCCCCGCTTTGCCCCCCCAGATGAAGGACTCCGAGATGGACGAGGGCAGGGGGGGGGCGCCGTGGGAGGGGCGAGACGGAGCTGCGGGAGGGCCCAGCCGGCAAGGGCCGCAAGGTCAGCCGCCCGCAGCGCCGTGCCCGCCGCCGCAACAAGGAGCAGCCGAAAGAGATGAAGATCGCGGACGCGGGCATGAAGGCGATGCTGATGAACATGCTGAAGCAGCTCATCATCAAGACGAAGCAGCTCCGAGAGATCAGGGACCAGTTGCACGGCGCGTACCTCCTGGATGTCAAGGCCAAAGTCGTCTTAGCCATGCAGAACTGAGGAGCCGCTTGCGCGGCCGCGGTGAAGGAGAAGGGGAAGGGCCACGCCGTCGGCCCCCCAGCAGGCACGGTGTTTGTGCACATGGTGAAGCAGTTGATGGAGGAGGAGGCGGGGGCCCAGAGCCGCAAGTACTTGGAGGCCCCCATGGACCAGATGAGGGACGGTTTCAGGCGGCGCCTCGACTGATGGGGGTGGCCGCGGAAATCCCGCTCTCGGTCCGTCGGGGGGCGGGCTGTTTTACCCATTTCAGGGACCACGCTTCTGAACGCAGCCGGTGGCTCAGAATCGGGCGATCTCGGCCGATCCGCGCTGTCGCAAAGTCGCGATCGCTCAAAGTTGAGCGGCCCGCGCGGTGTCAGACATCAACGCCCGAGTGGACACGACAGGAGCCAAGCTCCTCGTCTTCCTGCTGCTGTTCTGTTCCCCTTTGAGTTGGCGCGAAGGTGGGAGGAGGAAGAGGAGGAGGAGGAGGAGAAGCAGGAGGAAAAGGAGGCGGAGCAACAGCAGGATGAGGAGGTGGAAAAGGAAGAGGCCGAGGAGGAGCAGTAGGATAATGTCGAGAGGAGGTAAATAGGAGGAGGGCGGAGGGCGGACTGATCGGCGGAGGAGCCGCAGGAGCCCCCGCATGGACCCCCTCGGAGAGTTGTTGGGCTGCTCGGACAGCGAGCCTTGGAACGACCTGCTGCACAGGTTCTGCATCCAGGGCGACGAGAGCATCGTGGAGGTGCTCCTCGACCACCTCGTGCAGTCGGGCCCCCCTGCCTCCCTCTCCCTCCCCTCGGTCCGTCCTCTCCCTCCTCATCCTCCCCCCCCCCCCCCTCCTCGCTGCCACTTCCTCTTCCTGCTGCTGCTGCTGCTGCTCCTCCTCCTCCTCCTCCTCCTCCTCCTCCTCCTCCTCCTCCTCCTCCTCCTCCTCCCCTCCCCCTGCTCCTCCCGCACCCCCCTCCCCCCTCCTCCGTCCTCTTCTCCCTTTACTCCTCCTCCAGCCCCTCCTCCGCACCCCCCTCCCCTCCCCGATTTACTTGCCCCCCTCCTCCGCCCCCTCTCCGCTCCCCCTCCTTATCCCCCGCCGAACGGGCTCGTAATCCTCATCCTCCTCAATCGCCTTTTCATCTTCCACCTCGCCGCCGCATATGGGCAATTATTTAGTTAGTCCAGAGTGCTTTGTTGGTGTTTCGGTCAACGAGGCACGACGGACTCGTTTGAACGCCGGGAACATTGCGACACTTATCCGCATGTGTAGCATGACAGACAAACGGGTAGAATGTTCTATCCATGGGCATGTGGCTCAAGGGTGGCCATCCTCCGCGCCCGCTTTACAGTCTTCCCGGACACCGCTCTACAACGGTCTATTGAAGAATAGTTTTTCCACATTACATGTTAGTCTCTTCGTTCCTTCCCTCCCTTCCCCCCCTCCCTCCTCCCCCTCCTCCCCCTCCTCCTCCTCCCCCTCCTCTTCCATTCTTTTTTCCTTATAAAAAATTTGTCCTTATCGCACCCCGAAGCCTGTTTGTTAGGGTTGGCCAAGCGTTCGCCTGATATTTCCTCACCATTTGTGATTCGGAAGCTTTCAACATGGTAACAAAATCGCGGATGGAGGGTAGGTGGTTTTCAAGCTGTGGCTCTCGCCTTAGTTTGAAAATTGCAATAGCTTCAAAGATTGTGGGCACGTCGTTTTCGAAATGTGGCTCTCGCTTTCGCGCCGCGCAGGTTCGTTCTAAACATTTGCAAGAGCTTCACGTATTGAGGGCGGGTGGTTTTCAAAATGTGGTTTTCGCCTGAGCTCCGCGCACACTCGTTCAAAACAATTGCAAGAGGTTCACGGATTAAGGGCGGGCCGCTTTCAAGATGTGGTTCTCGCCTCAGCGCCGCGCACATTCGTGTTAAGAGTTTGCACGAGTTTCACGGATTGAGGGCGGGTGGTTTTCAACATGTGGTTCTCGCCTTAGCGCTCCGCACATTCGGTTTCAGAGTTGGCAAGAGCTTCGCGGATTTGGCGCGGTTCCTTTCAAGATGTGGTCATCGCCTTAGCGCCGCGCCCATTCGCTTCAAACATTCGCAGCAGTTTTCGGATCCCCATGGTCAACGTACCAGAAATTGCGTTTTGGATGGATTTTGGACTATGCGGGCGCAACAAGTTTGTTGATTCGCTGTGTTGAAGTCCAATAAATGGCGTTCTGGCGCGACTCCAGATCGTCAGGACGCAGCAGTCAGGTTGATCTGTGGCGTGGAAATCCCGAGAACAACGTTTTGGCATGCTTCAAGGTCTTCAAACGGTTGTCTTCCAACGAGGCAGTTCCCTCAATGGAAATGAACCGTTGCAGGGGCCCATGAAGAGGGAGCTTGGAAGGAGGGTTGATTCCAACATCGTTGGTGACTCTTGGGTTTGCACTGGTCCTCCTCCTCCTCCTCCTCCTCCTCCTCCTCCTCCTCCTCCCCATCTCCTCATTTCCCCCCCCCCTGGGAGGCCGCGACGCGGGCGCGCTGATCGAGGCGCTGGCCAGCGCGGACCTCGCTGGGTTAGAGGGCGTGGTGGCGGAGGTGACCGCGGGCTCGGCGGCCCTCTGTGGGGGCACCAACGCAGGAAGGAGGAGAAGCGGGAGGGGGAGGGGGAGGGGGAGGAGGAGGAGGAGGAGGAGGAGGAGGAGGAGGAGGAGGAGCAGGAGGAGGAGGAGGAGGAGGAGAAAAGACGAGGAGAGGAGGAGGCGGAGGAGGAGAGGAGGACGAGGAGCAGGAGAAGGAGGACGAGGAGCAGGAGGATGGGATGAGAGGATGAGGAGGAGGAGGAGGAAAAGGATGACGAGGAGGAGGAGGAGGAGGAGGAGGAGGAGAAGGATGACGAGGGGGAGGAGGAGGAGGAGAAGAAGGAAGAGGAAGAGGGCGGGAGGGCCGGAGGGCGGGAGGGCAGGAGGGTGGGCGGGAGGGCAGGAGGGAGGGAGAATGAAAAGGAGGAAGTTGAGGAGGAGGAGGAGGTGGAGAAGGTTGAGGAGGACGAGGAAGATGTGGATGGATAGGGGTAGCACGGTGATTCACATGCTAGGACGTATGATCATGATGATGGTGGCGACGACAACGAAGGTCAGGACGATGATGGTGATGCGTATGCTGCTGCTGTGGATGGTGATGGTGGTGATTTTGTTGATGCTGATGCTGATTATGTTGATGCTGATGCTGATGATGAGGGTGAGGTTGATGATGATGATGATGCTGATGATGATGATGATGATGATGATGATGATGCTACTAATGATGATGATGATGATGATGATGATGATGCTGCTGCTGATGATGATGATGATGATGGCGAGGATGAGGATGATGGTGATGGCGATGTTGATGATGATGGTGATGATGAAAATGACGATGACGATGGTGATGCTGGTAATGATGATGATGATGATGCGGATGATGATGATGGTGGTGGTGATGATGCTGATGATGATGACGATGATGGTAATGCTGATAATGATAATGGTGATGCTGATGCTGATGATGATGACGACGATAAAGATAATGATGACGACGATGATGATCGTGAGTGTGTTTCTGATGATACGTGTGACCATTAATTACGACTGCGATGCTGATGACGAACTTTTGCTGATGAGTGTGATGAGGAACATGATGATGTTGCTGATGCGGATGATGATGCTGATGCTGATGCTGATGACAGTGATAATAGTGATGATGGTGATGCGCATGATGCTGATGATGATAATGCTGCGGATGGTTTTGTTGTTGATGACGATGATGCCTACGATGTTTCTGCTGATCGTGAGGACGATGGCGGGGCTGATGAGAACAATACTCGTGATGACTGTGATGATGATGGTAATGCTGATGATGACGGTGGTAGTGGCAGTGGTGGTGTTGTTGGTGATGGCATGACGATGCTGATGGTAGTGGTGCTGGGGATGATGATGGTGGTGATGGTGATGGTGATGGTAGTGTTGGTGATGGTGATGGTGATGGTAATGGTGGTAAGGGTGATGGTGATGGTGATGATGATAATGAGCATGCTAACGACGAGGATGATGAAAGGTATCATGATGTGGTTGATGATGATGTTGATGATGATGGTGATGCTGCTGATGATGACAGTGATGATGATGCTGAAGTCGATGATGGTGGCGGTGGTGACAATGAGGATGCTGACGATGATGCCGACGACGACGACGACGGCGGCGGCGACGATGGTGGTGGTGATGATGATGCTGATGATGGTGGTGGTGATGATGATGATGCTGATGATGATGATGGTGATGATGGTGGTGGTGGTGGTGCTGGTGATAGTGATGATGCTGGTGGTGATGATGATGATAGGGAGGGGGGAGGGAAGGGGCTTCGAGGGTGGAAGGGGAGAGGAGGGGAGGGGGAGAGGGCAGGGGAGGGGAGGGAGGGGAGGGGAGGGGAGGGGAGGGAGAGAGGGGAGAGGGAGAACGAGGAGGCAGGGGAGGAGGCGGAAGAGGGGGAGGAGGAGGAGAGGAGGAGGAGGAGTAGGAGGAGGAGACGGAGGAGGTGAAAGGAGAGGAGGAAGGAGGAGAAGGGGGAGGAAGAGGAATATCAAGGATGATGTGGATGATAGGGGAAGTCCCAGAGAGCCCGTCGTGACTTTCTCACAACGTGGGCCTCCGGAAGTCTCGCCCCCTCCCATGGGGCCGGCTGATCCTGGTTTGTTTTTGTGTCGGTTTTGGGGCCCCAGTAAGGACCCCAAGGATGTCAAAAACAACGCGAGGAGGTCTGGGCTGGAGGGGGGTCGGGGGAAGAGGAGGATGGGAGGAGGAGGACGAGGAGGAGGAGGAGGCGGAGGAGAGGAGGAGGAGGAGGAGGAGGAGCGGAGGGATGGAGGGAGGTAGGGAGCGGACGGAGGAGACGGAGGATCAGGAAGGAATGAGGAAGTGAAGCGGAAGCACAAGGAGCAGGATAATCAAGATAAGGAAGTGGAAGTAGGAGGAGGAGGAAGAGGAAGAGGAAGAGGAAGAGCTAGAGGAGACGGAGGAGGAGGAGGAGGAGGAGGAGGTAGAGGAGGAGGAGGAGGAGGAGGAGGAGGAGGAAGAGGAGGAGGGAGGGAGAGGGAGGAGGCGGCAGGGGAGGGCGATGGGGACAAGGAGGATGGGGCGGAGCAGAAGGAGGAAGGGGAGAACGTGGGCGTGGGAGGATAATGGACGTGGAATGCAGATGAGGAGGAGGAGGAGGAGGAGGAGGAGGAAGCGGGCCGTAGCCATTTTGGCTCAAGTCCGTAGCGTAAAGGCTCAGGACTTGGTTTTGGCGTGGGGGAGGTGCGCCCCCAACAGCGAACCTGCGGCCATTCAGCCACAGGGTTCCCTTTCAGTGAGCTCCTGGAGGAGCACAGTACACAGCACGGCAGCCATCCAATGGTCAAGAAGGGCTATGTTGCTTGCCCTTATTCTTCTTGTCGCTAGCAGTGGAACTGGAGAACACACACGAAGTGCTGGAAATGCAACGGTCAGATGCGTCCAGCGCCATGGCATGGGGAACACAACCTACGAGGTGAATGGCGACAAGGACCACCAGCTACCCTTTGGGTTCAAGATCAAACCAGCCCAGGGGACAGCCCCTTCTCGAGCAGCACGGACAAAGGAAGTTGGAAACCCATCCTGGACACCAAATCTCCTTTCGGCACGACGACCGAGGAGTTGCTTGCGGCCCTGGTAGACCGAGCCAAAGAAGAACAACATAATGGTGAAGGCAAAAGTACATTGAGGCGCTGGCAAAACCGTTCCAAGATTCAACGGCCACCAAGAAGAACAAAACAGCCAGACCTGATGTCGAGCGAGAGCAAAATCTTCACCACGCGGGCGCCCAGGCCAGGAAAGCTCGGGCGGCATTGGACTAAACCGTCAAGCAAGAAGATATCTGCCAGGAGTGGTTGGGGAAAAAACCAAATTGAGACCCTCGAGAAGTGAAAGCTGGCGGCGGAAGCGGGGGCACACCATCAGCTACTGTTTAAGCACTCGCTCAAGGAGCAAGAACCGTCGCAAAAGGAGGCAGCAGCCACGATCAACCTGTCCAGTCTGCTGTCGATCGAGGAGGACGGTGACATCGAGCGTATCATCACCTCCGATGACGGCGAGGTTTCCAAGCTGGAAGAATACGACATCATCCCAGAAGAAGTGGAACATTTGCAAAATCCTAAGAAATGGCGTTTGCGGGAAGTATGTAAGCGCATCGGGCAAGCGATTCGGCCGTCAGCAAAAGATTTGGAGGAAAGACGGCGAAACATGGAAACCCTACGCACACGCATGGCGGCCAAAAAGCGAAGGGCCCAAGAAGGAGCACAAGCTGGAGGAGAACCAGCAGCAGCGGACGAACCCCGAGATGGAGAGGCTGGAGCACACACTGGCTCAACACCAGCAGAAGCGGCAAGCCAACATCCAGAACAAGTGGAAGTTACGCAAGAGGACATCGACAAAGTTTTGGGGAGCAGCAGAGCCAAGCAGGCAGCATCGGGTACACAGCGTGGGTAAGAAGCAAGTGCACAGGAAACACTACAACCCAAACGTACCTGAAGGCAACGACGATAACATCAGAGAGAAGAAGCTGACAATGGATACCAATGGCGAGCAGAAGCCGAACCATGGGAATATCAAACTCTACCTGGCAAACTACACCAAGTGGAATGACAAGACATACGCGTACCTCACAGAGGAACACATGGAGGACATAGACATATATTTTGGGGTTGAAGCCCATCTGCGGGATGGAAAGTTGTTGGAGGCTCAAAAGAAGTTGCAAAAAGCGGGCTGGAAATGCACATCAAGCCCAGCAGTGCCTACAGCACAGGATGGAGCCCTGGGACATGGTGGAGTGTGGGTGCTATGTCGCGCGGGGCTACATGCGCGTGTACAATGCCCCTGCAGAGCAGGGGTCAACGGCGAGGCACAGTTCTATGGCGTTCAGTGGGTGGCAAGGACACTCAGGATACGGAGATTGGATATCACAATGATCAGTACCTATCTAAATGGCAGTGAAGGATGGTAGGTACCAACGATTTCAGATTAACAGAAATGGCAGGATTTCTTAGGGCGGATTGCAAGCAATTTTTGGCTAACATATGCGCGCGGAGCAATTGTGCAGGCCCCGGGCGCTTTCACAAACTCAGGAGGGCAAGGGCGTGTGCTCGACTACGGCGTGATACCAGAGGAATTGGCAGCCTTGATTGAACTCGAACTTGACTTCCGAGGACCGTGGGCCCCACATGTCGGCATCAAGGGCACCTTGAACATAGCCAGGGGGGCCCTGCAGGCGCGAATGCTGGCGCCTGTGGAGCCGTTATTAAAGCAAGCCCATGGACCTGATTTGCTATGGGGCCATTTTCGAGGCCACGAACACCCGGGGCCTTCAACGGGCTACAACGTGTGGAGGGAAGCCACCAGCGCCGACCTCAGCAGAAAGTACGCAGATTTTTGTAAGCAAGCAGAGGGCCTTCTTCCAAACAGAGCCTGTCGTATCCCAGCAGAGCAACAACGAGGAGATAGCCTCAGGGTCCGACTTACTGACGTCCTCCAGGGGAAGCCTCCAGGTCACTTCGGGCCATCAAA